CAGCTCCTGGAGTGGTGAAACTAACTGAACAAACCGCCTCCTTATCATCTGGTGAATTACTCATCTGGTGTGCGCAAGGTTCACTTGCTCTTTAGTAAATAAAGCAAAGCCATTTTCTTTATTTTATCTTTATTTCATCCACCAAAGACAAACTGGAAAAAACCAAAACACTCCTCCCTCTTCAGATGCGCGTCTATTCTCTGTCCCGGTCTGAACATAGTGCGTCCAACGTGAGGCGTTGGGCGCTTTTTTGCTGCTCAAAATGTGTTCGGTGTGAACATAGCTTTAGAGGTTGGAGCGGATGCAGTGTAAATGCTCTCAGATGGTGGAGCGGACACAGTGTAAATTCTCGCAAATGGTGGAGCAGACGCAGTGTAAATGCTTTCGCAGAGTGGAGTGGAGACAGTGTAAATGCTTTCAGAGAGTGGAAAGGTGGCAGTGTAAATGCTCTCAGAGGGCGGAGTGGACACAGTGTAAATGCTTTCAGAGTGTGGAGTGGAGGCAATGTAAATGCTCTCAGATGGTGGAGTGGAGGCAGTGTAAATGCTGTCAGAGGGTGGAGCAGATGCAGTGTAAATGCTCTCAGATGGTGGAGTGGAGGCAGTGTAAATGCTTCCAGAGGGTAGAGTGGAGGCAGTGTAAATGCTGTCAGAGGGTGGAGTGGAGGCAGTGTAAATGCTTCCAGAGGGTAGAGTGGAGGCAGTGTAAATGCTGTCAGAGTTTGGAGCAGATGCAGTGTAAATGCTCTCAGAGGGCGGAACGGAAGCAGTGTAAATGCTTCTAGAGGGTAGAGTGGAGGCAGTGTAAATGCTTTCAGAGTGGAGTGGATGCAGTGTAAATGCTCTCAGATGGTGGAGTGGATGCAGTGTAAATACTCTCAGATGGTGGAGCAGATGCAGTGTAAATGCTTTCAGAGTGGAGTGGATGCAGTGTAAATGCTTTCAGATGGTGGAGTGGAGGCAGTGTAAATGCTTTCAGAGTGGAGTGGATTCAGTGTAAATGCTCTCAGATGTTGGGGTGGATGCAGTGTAAATACTCTCAGATGGTGGATTGGAGGCAGTGTAAATGCTGTCAGAGGGTGGAGCAGATGCAGTGTAAATGCTCTCAGAGGGTAGAGTGGAGGCAGTGTAAATGCTTTCAGAGTGGAGTGGATGCAGTGTAAATACTCTCAGATGGTGGATTTGAGGCAGTGTAAATGCTGTCAGAGGGTGGAGCAGATGCAGTGTAAATGCTCTCAGAGAGTGGAGTGGAGGCAGTGTAAACGCTTTCAGAGGGCAGCGCAGAGTGGACACAGTGTAAATTGTCCTCACTAACAAGAAAAAGGATTGTTCCTTTTTTTGTCTGTGCCTCTGACACAGTTATTGCCTGTAAATGTATACATTAAAACAAAACAAAAAAGTTCCAATAATTTGGTATTTTCTTATTGTACTTAACCCCTGAAACCATAACCATTATACTGTACCAAAATACATTCAAACAAGACATGACTCTTCCACCCCTACAAATAGCTACATTTGCCTAATTTCTTCTTAGTGTGTTCTACTCTCCCACTGAACTCCTACTTACAATTTGGGCAAAAGCATTATTTWACAATCAGCTTTGTCTTTTTTTCCTCAAACATACAATTTTAACCAGTGGTAACCAACCTGTTTTTCTCAAAGCCCCACTTTCTTCCTTCCGAGCTAAGCTGAGACCCACCCCATCAATCCTTACCTCTCCCAACGACGCATTCAACCTTAATCTTTTTATCAAAATAATGAAAGAATAAAGTGAAGTCTAGACTGGCGTATTCACACTGGTGCGTAGTTATCTTGGTAATCTTGATGTTTTTCCAAAAGATTGAGTTCTACAGTTGTAATTATTCAAATGAACTTCTTTTAGTGATTTTTATATACAAACAATAAATTAATATTTTCATAACCTCAGAGCAGTTATGCTCCTCCCCATGCTCTCTGACAACCACCCCCTCAGGATGGCAGGCCCCTAACGTTGGGAATCCCTGGTTTAAAGGGAAGCAAATATACAGTATACTGTATATACAGTATATATTTATATATACTGTATATATAACCAGAAGTGTTTTAAATGTTATTATCTGACATTGTCAAAGGGTTGAGGAGAACCTTTAGCTCCACGTTAACCAGTGACGAACACATAAKGTTCGAAGCTTTAGCAGTTCCAAACTTAATGACCAAAACAACTGAAACTGCGTTCATTGTGAGGCAGGAAACACTCTTTTCCATTAAAATTCCTTTACTGTGAGTTTTCTTTCAAGACAAGGTTCAGGAATGAGAATAGGTGAGTTTGTTATTGACCATTCATGTGAACACTAACCTACCACTGGACAGTTTTTATGACATTTTCAGAAAGTAAAGCAACTGATTAACTTTTAGARTCAGTTCAACTCGTCACAGCTGRTCAATGTCAGCACACACAAACATGGCTCTAAGCCACTCAGTTTAATTGATATTGATCTAAATTTTAGAGATGTAGCTAACTTCACAATGAGTACTAAAAGGTATCAGGATTTATGTGAGATTGTGCCTTAGATCAGTGGTTCCCAAACTTTTTATCTTCTGACCCACAAAATGTCCATGACAAAAACTTGTGACCCCAAATATTACTGGTC